ACGACATCACACACCCGGTGGTTATTTGATAATAAAAGCTCATCACTGAATGAATATTTTATCAGTCAGGTGCTGCTAACGGTGACATCTCGCTGGGTTGGGACCGCCAACCAGTCAAAATAACAATTATGAATGAGTCTGAAAGGACTTGAAACGTGAGGCGGGTACGATGTGGGCAGCAAAATAACGTTTATAACAAACTGTATAGTTTTGTAAGTCGTGCACACAACAAGTTGTGATGTTCACAAACTGGCTGTTCAAAATGCAGCTGCTCACTCGCACTCAGCTCCCTGAGAAGACAAAAGGTCTTATTTTCTCACCATTTTGAGTCACAGCTCAGTGAGATGCTACATTAATCATCAGCAAGTGTTGCTGCTTCTTTAACATCCATCATCCATCCATCCATCCATCCATCTTTCCATTATCTTCCGTTTGTTCTGAAGTCAGTTCGTGGGGGCAGCAGCTTGAGCAGGGAGGCTCACACATCTGGGGGCTCCCCAAGGTGTTTCCAGGCCAACTGAGATTATAGTCTCTCCAGCATGTCCTGGATCTTCCCATGGGTCTCCTCCCAGTTGAACATGCCCAAAGCACCTCCTTAGGGAGGCGCCCAGGGAGCATCTTTACTAGATGCTCGAACCACCTCACCTGGCTCCTCTCGATGTGGAGGAGCAGCGGTTCTACTCCAAGTCTGTCCCGGGTAACTGAACTTCTCACCATATCTCTAAGACAAAGGCAACTGGGGTCCCGGACCCCAGGGGTCCGTGAGTGAGAGAGTGAATGGTTGTTTGTCTCGTTTGTCTCTATGTGTCCCTGTGATGGACTGGAGACCTGTCCAGGGTGTCCCCCGCCCCTCGCACTGTGATTGCTGGACATGGGCACCGGCGACCCCTGTGACCCAAAATGGAAGAAGCGGGTAAAGAAAATGGATGGATGGAATTTTTTTCCTTATTTAATTTTTTTACAAGCACTTAGATGTTTAACAACCTGTTAAAATACACCAAAATGCAGGAAATCACATCTACTTTATTCAAAATTTTCTGGGGGAGGACCCCCCCCCCCCCCCCACACACACACACACCAGCCCGCCCGCTCTTTGCATTACGTCATCAGTCTGTTTACATGTTAGCCCCGTTACATGGTACTACTGCTGTTATGATTCTGTTCAGTTTTATGTCATAATTTCAAGAAGTGGTAATACATTTATTATGTTGTTATTATTATTTATTATTATTTATTATGTTATTATTTATTATTATACATTTTTTATGTTATTCTTTTATTATACATTTATTATGTTGTTCTTTTTTATTAATATAATTTATTATGTTATTATTATTAATTAATATGCATTTATTATGTTATCGTTCTTATTTATTAATATACATTTATTATGTTATTATTTATGATTATCCATTTATTTTGTTATTATTATTATTATTATTATACATTTATTATGTTTATTGTGTAAATAGGTAAAGTTTTAAAGTGGTTTTTGATTCTGTTAATTTTCTCTAAACTGTAATTTTTGGAAGTTGCAATTAAAAATGTTAATTAAGTGCATCTTGAATGAAAAGTACCCCATGTTTAAAAAGTTTTAAAAAAATGGTATTAACACGATTAAAGAACAGGTCTTAAGTATTTTTGTTACACAAATATTTCCACAGCATAAAGAGACAAATTGAAGAAAATTATTTAATAAACATGAAGGTTATGAGGGGGTCCCTGAACCCAAACGTTTGAGAACCCCGGGTCTAAGAGAGTCCAGCTGCCCTGCAGAAGAAGCTCATTTCAACCGTCACTTCTTTAACAATAGATGTTTACATGTTTACATGTTTACATGTTTTGTTGGTCTGCAGCACTCAGGTGTGTGTTGGCACAAAGCCAAAGGGGAAAGACTTTTGCTGCTGTCTCATAGAAGTCTTAGTTTAGGAACTTGGGACAAACTATTTTAAATATCTAATCTAATCTTAATCTAATTAAGACAGATTATACACGGGTGGAAAACATTCAAGACGGTGTTCGACCTTCTCTTCAAGTTCACCGTCAAGAGAAGGTCGTTTCATGAGAAGGAAATATTTATGACATTTGTAAATCTTTCATTTTTCACTTCATTTGTTTTTATTTATTTATTTCCGTTTCAATCTAACATTGAAAAAAAAAATCAAGGAATATTAACAGAACAGAGATTTTCTGATGAAAATTAAGAAGAAAGGACGTTTGTGTGCTCAGATGAAAATGTAAGAGCGCAGCTCTGTCATTGTTCTCACAACCACGGCTGCGTGTCACTTCCTGTGTGGCGGCTCGACGCACACACCTGTTGTCTCCCACACGTCACAGCAGACACACAAAAACCCACAAACAAAAAGGGTTCAACACGGAGACACATGCAGACGACATGTCGCTGCCTTAAGTGACCTTTTCTTCTCTCAGCACTTAATTCGTTCACCAGCTGATTTAAATATTAAACTGCGTCTTTGTGTCTTCACAACAGAAGTTCAGTAAAAGACTCTCGGGCTCGTTGTGGTTCTGATCAGAATAAAACAGACGCACCACCAGTATGACCGTTTCTGGTCCAAAACCCCCAAATAAACCATAAGATGCATGCGACAGTGCGTGAGGGAGTTGTTGCTCTGTGGTGGACGCACGTCAAACGGCTTGAAAGGAGGTTAGGAATCATCAGTGAGGTTTTACTGATCCCAGAGCAGATGTGACCAGATGTTTACTGTTTAACTGGGAAATGCGTTGCTCAGGGGGAAACACTGTTTATGTCTTGTGTGTGTTTATGTGTGTGCGCCTCAGTCTGAGGTTAGATTGTGAGTCCGGATCAGACCGGCTAACGTATCTCAACAACATGACAAGTGGAAGCGTTTCGCACCATCCCTTCTCAGACACGCTCATGGCGTGACAGACGGTGGATGTTGGTGTCCAGCTGTTGCTTTCATCCTTCATCTTCACTCGGGTTGAATTAAGTTGAGCATTTACATCTTTCAGGTCAAGTTTTCCATAAATAAGCAGAAAAGGAGTCCACTGTTGACAACATGGTTTGTTTCTTCAGGGGGCCGTCACGCTGCGTCAGAGTCGGAAACATGAGCTTTTTGATTTCTCTGCCACTGAAACTAAAAGAGAGAAACGAAAAGAACGTTCATCAGTTCTGCTGCTGCTCGATGAACATCAGTTTAAACTAAATGTTTTGCTAAAATATAGGACGGACACTGAGTCTTCTTCTTTCACCTGTGTCCTCTTCAGGGGTCTCCACAGCAAGTCCTCCTCCTCCATTTCTGTCCTCTGTGTCCTCTGTCCTCACTCCAACCACCTCCATGTCCTCTCTAACTGCATCCATGTGTCTCCTCTTTGTCTTTTTCCTGGCAGCTGCATTTCTAACATCTTTCTACCAGTATACCCACTGTCCCTCATCTGGACATGTCCTAACCACTGTCCCTCCTCTGGACATGTCCAGACCATCTCAGTGTGTCCTCTCTAACTTTATCTCCCAGTTGTTCAACCAGTGCTGTACCTCTGATGATCTCATTCCTAATCTTCTCCATCTTTGTCGCTCCTAAGGAGAACCTCAACATCTTCATTTCTGCCACTTCCAGTTCTGTCTCCTGTCTTTTTGTCCACGTCCCTGTCTCCAGACCATACAACAGAGCTGCTGTCACCACTGTCTTTAAACTTTTCCTTTGACTTTTGCTGACACCCTTTTGTCCCAAATCACTCCTGGAACTTTTCTCCATCCATCTGAGAATCTTCACCAGCATTTCTCTCCATCCTGCCTGGACTCTTCTTCACCTCTTCACCACACTTCCCATTTTTCTGGACAGTGGACTGTAAGTCCTTGAAGTCCTGCACCTTTGTGGCCTCTGCTCCTTGGAGCCTCACTGTTCCACCTCCTACTTCTCGTTCACACACATGGACTCTGTCTTACTTCGGCTGAACACTGAATGACTGCTGAAATTAGCTGAAGGAGCTGAAACTGAGTTGATAATGCTAAAACAAGTAGCACTAAGGAGAAAAATGCTAGCTAAAAAACAAATGTAGCCAAAGGCTAGCTCAAAGCTTCTCATAGGAAAACACTAGCTAGATGCTAAAAGTAGCTTATAGCTAGCAAAAGGCTTGTTCAAAGCTCAAATAACCAAAGGTTAGCCAAAAGTATCAATATTAGCTAAAAGCTTAATGTAGCAGATTGATAGCCAAAAGTAGCACAATTATATTTAAATACAAAAAGTAACAAAAGGCTAGCTAAAAATAGCAAAAATCTGGCTAAAACCTTAAAGTAGCAAAAGTTTAGCTAAAAGCAACATATAGCAGATGGGAGCTATAAGCTAAAAGTAGCACAGCAAGACAAAACTAGAGCCAGTAGGTGAAATAAACAAATATTTCTAAGAGATCTCAGTGTATTTATATGCGGAAAATATTCGTAAATATTTTAGAAAAATATTAAAGTTACAAAGATTAAAGTCGTTGCGCCCATTTCCTGAAAGAGCTGAACGTTTTGAGATACGAACAGCTAAAATAGCTCATTGTTTGAAGAGGCAGGCTGGAAAAATAAACAACAGGAACGCAACTAACGTATAAAAATACAAATAAAGTGAACGTGCCTGATTTTCGAGGACAAGCCGTGCTCCATTCATGTGCACGTTTGACGAGGTCATTCCTGTAAAACATGGACTTCATTCATTTCTATCATCTCTTTACATAAATTAATAAACATGTATAATTGTGCTTTTTGTTTTAGACGTTACCGAGCAGCGCACCAACATCCGTTTGGTTTTGCTGCGGTTTGTATTTGCAGTTATTATCATTTCAGTGGATTCTGGTCTGTTTTGTAAATTCACGGCAGCTGTTTGGAACTGTTCGTACATGAAGGGGACACCTGAAGTGACCGGGACAAAAAAAAAAAAAACACTTTTCTAATAAAACGTTTATCCTCATAAACATGTTACATATTTTATTGTTTTTCTAATTAAAAGACTCGTCTGTGTCGTCGTTGATCTTTGCAGGAAGTGGTGACGCCCTGCTCCTCCTGCCGCCCCCCCTCCTCTGCTCCCCCAGCCAACATTGGATCTCGGTCCTGCCGGCGGTGGATTGGACCACTCTCATCGGACGCTTTGTGAGCGGGTTTTTCGGTCTGGCGCCGCCTCCCCCTGGGGCCGGCGTGCGCTCCCAGCAGCCCGTGGTGCCCTGCGCCCCCCCCTCCCCATCACTGCACACTAGAGCCCATGCTCAGGGTAAGACCTGGACCGTAGTCTTCTTACTGCTCTTTTAGTTCCAGGATAAATCTGTTGGTATCCCTAATGAGACAAATAGTCTTTGCAGAATGTTTCAAATGGGTTGTTTGACCCTAATTAACCTTAACCTGTATAAATAAATGATGACTGAATCAGCATCACAAGCTCTTCAGCAGCGATTCTGCCTGTTTAAAGGAAACTAACAGCCACCGGTAGTTTGGTATAGATGTGAGCGCCACACTGAACATGGAGCAGAGAAAGACGATTATAGGTATCCATGTTAAAGGTAAAGGTTGCAGGACCATGTCCAAGCTGCTTCATGTTCCTCTCACCACAGCTGACTTTATTAAGACGCGTGAGGTCCATGGGACTGTAGACACCCCCCAGGACGAGGATGAAGGAGGAAATGTGACCCAAGGTTGATCAGACAAATCGTGCAAATGAGAGAAAGAACTAAATAAAATCATCCAAATCTAATCAGTTTGAACTCCAAGGTCGAGGCATGTCACTTCTGATCGTCACATTTTAAATCATGAGAAGACCCAGGGGGCTCCGTTAGCAGAAAAATACAAAAACAGACGAACAGAAATTCATCAAAATGCATGTAAACAAGAACCAAAGATTCTGGGACTGATGAGGCAAAATAAACTTGTTGGGTCCAGTTACATCAGCTGTGTTTTTATTTATCTTTATTAGTTTGGAAGAACGTCCACAAATGTATCTGTCCGTGTATTTTTCAGTCAAGTCAAGGTTTTTTATTGTCATTCGCGTCACATGTGGTACATGAGGTGGAACAAACTTGTGTACACAGAGTCCCAGTTACAGTTAATCAGTAAAATATGAACTTATTAAATAAAGGTTTTAGTCTTCACTTTTGTATTTGAGAGTATTTTCTGTCTGAACTAAGGATAAATATATAAATCCTCCATTTTATTATAAGATAAATATTGCAGTTTTATATAACGGTCTGTGATTTAAAAACTGCACCTTTTCTATGACACTGAAATAAAACAATGCAGTTAAATATAAAACTGTTGTTGCATATTCAGGTCAGTTTTTCAGCTACAATCTAAAATCAAACCGCCTACATTTACTTCAGTGCAGTGATTCAGTTCAGAACATTTGATTAAGTAGTCATCATTGCTGTAAACGGTTGTTTGTAGTTTAAGTTGAAACACTATGGAGGAAACAGGTGATCACTTCTGCCTGGAGAAACAAGAACATTTTATTTTGCAGATGCTCAGTTTCTGGTGGAACCACTGAAACCACGACCGGATCGTTTAAACCGTTTAATTTACCGTTGATAATCCAGTTTAAAGACACGTTTAGCGAACGCAGCTGTCTGAAAATAGTATTATATTTAAAACTTCACTCCAGAATGTTTGTTTATTTGGGGTTTTATGAAGTCGCACCTTGTTCCACGTCGTCTGTCGCGTCGTGTCCGTCCTGGGCGCTCGGAGAGCTCCAGTTGCATCCGTTACGTCTCTCAGGGTAAATGCTGCAAGCAGCAGAACGGAGGCCATTAAACCGGATCCTGCTGCTGACTGTGTCGGACCACAAGTTCTCATAATCACATCTACCGAGATGAATTAGCTGCTTGATTATTTTGGACGTAGTTGTGTGAGTGCGGGTCAGAGAATGAGGAGACGGCCTCCAGCTCCCTAAAAGCCAGGGGGTAGCAGGTGCTGGGGGCCTTTTTGGACACTTTCGGAGTGGATAAGGAAGAAATTGATTAAATTATTTTGTGTGTTTCGTCAAACTGCAGTGAAGTTTAACTTTTATTTAAACAACAGAAACGACTCCCCAACATTTTTCAGTCAGGTCATCTGGACAGTTTCTTTTTTTGTGCTGAAACGTTTCGCCTTCGATCCGGAAGACTTCATCAGTCAAGGAAACACACAACATTCATTCAACCTTTATTTATACAGGTAAATCCCACTGAGCCTCGAGGACTCATTTACAAGAGAGACCTGGTTTCAACAAAGAACGAGGACAACAATAAACAGTTATAAAAAGTCATACAGATTTTTTTTTTTTAACAAATAGGATGGCTAAAAAAAGAAAAGTAACAAAAAACATTTAGATTCTAAAGCGAATGTAGAAAACTAAAAACAGGAACATGTCAGCATTGGTCCCTGCAGGAGTCCAACAGATTCTTAAAGCCACTTAGAGAGGTCATGGTCGAGAGCTTCAATTGTTTTTGCAAGATATTCCAGGAAACAGGAGCGGAGTAGGAGAAGGTCCTTTTGTCTAGTTCAGTCCTCACTGAGGGAACACTGCAGGTAATAATGTCCTGAGAGCGCACGTTGTAGCTGCACTCACGCAGAGACATGTAGGAGGAGATGTATGAAGGCAGCAGACCAAGAAGTGATTTAAAGATGAAAATGTACCAGTGAGAGAGTCTGCGTGAAGTTAATGATGTCCAGTTAACCAGTGAATACTGGGTGCAGTGGTGGGTACGATAATCACAGCCAGTTATGAATCTTAGTGCACCCTGATAGACAGCATCCAACATCTGCAGCATCCAACATCTGCAGCATCCAACATCTGCAGGGTTCTTGTAGGAGCGTTCATGTAAATAATGTCACCGTAATCAATTGAGGGAAGGAAAGTCACAGATACAAGGTGTTTTCTAACATTCAGGGTTAGACAGGATCTGTTTCTGAAAAAGAAACCCAGTTTAACTTTCAGTTTCTTTATCAAGTTTTCCACATGGAGCTTAAAAGAGAGATGTGAGTCGACCAAGATACCCAAATATTTATAGGATTCAACAAACTCAATGGGGACATCGTTTGAGGATGAGATCAGAGGAAGAACTGCTGGGACTGACTTCCTATTTGAAAAAAAGCATACCTTTGGTTTTGTCGGCATTTAGGACGAGTTTGAGGCGGAACAAATCAGTCTGTATGTTGTTGAATGCAGATTTCAAAAGCTGGAAAGCCTTAGCAACAGTTTTAGCTCGACAATAAACAACTGTGTCATCAGCGTAGAAACGTATGGATGCATGCATGGAACAACAAAACTGATTCTTCCCCCAACAGTTTACTCCAAAGTGGAACAAACCAGTTCTGCTTGTGATAAGATGGTCTCTTTGGCACGCCCCCTCCTCCATTGCCGGCCCTCTTCCTTGTTGACAGTCTCGTCAAACTGGTTGAAAACCACTGATGAAGCCTTCCGGATCGAAGATGAAACGTTTCAGCACAAAAAAAGAAACTGTCCAGATGACCTGACTGAAAAATGTTGGATTGTACACCTGGATTATTGAGCATGGACTTTGCTGTTAAAAGAAAATACTTTTGTCCTATAAATTCATATTTTTGAGTAAAGGTGTTTATTTACTATAACAAGCTGCAAAGCTTGTTTTCCCTCCTCCGCTGTGTTTCCTGCACGTTTCTCATAGTTCAGGCAATCTTTGTTCAAGATGATATTTTTAAAGAAAATTCTTGCTTTGTTTAACTCGACAGAAAAAGGTTTGTTGGACAAATGTCCAGCGTAAATAAAAGAAACGGATTATTAAATATTACACACAGAACAGAGAAACATAAAGTGATTGTCACTGGAATGGTTTAGTTCTAGCCGACACCAGTTACGGCTGTGATTTTTCTCTCCCGGACAGGAGGAAGCGCGGTGCGTCCGCCTGGAGCCATGTGCCTCCCTCAAACCAACAACATGGACAACAAGCTACAGGGGGCGGGGGGAGGGGCTTCACTTCAACCACGAGCAGGAGGCGTTCCTCTGGAGCCCTTCATACATCAGGTGTGTGCGTGAACAACATTGAAGCTCACGAACAATTCAAGATGGCCGCCACTCTAATCTGTTTCATCAAATGCAAAACGGACGTCCAGTTTTCCAGAAACTGAGCTGCAATTTGATGTGGTAGTAGCTGGGAGTGATCTCCAGCACATGCTTTGAGCCCGAACAGCTCATGCGAGGTTTTTATTTAAAACTTTTGCCGTGTTAGGTGGCGGGTGATGTGCATTCCTTCGAGGATTCACGTGTAGCTAACACTGACGTGCGCTGACACATCTTTATTCTTTACAGCGTTTATGTTTAACAACTAACACCACACGCTACAAACAGAAGGTGTAACATGTGGGACGTTGGTAAACGTTTGTCTGCCTGTTGTTTTAACGCCCGGTGGCTTTTTGTCTGCAGGTGGGGGGCCACTCCAGCATGATGCGATACGATGACCACACGGTGTGCAAGCCTCTGATCAGCAGAGAGCAGCGCTTCTACGAGTCTCTGCCTCCTGACATGAAGGAGTTCACTCCGGAGTATAAAGGTCAGTCCCAGCACACTGATGTCCGGCACCAGAACCTGACTGGCATTGTTGGACTCTTCACAATAAATCAGTTGCTCAGAATAACAGGCGTACTCTCACTGATCTGTGTGTGTAAAAAGATCTTTAAACCAGTTTACCTGCTCAGTAAAACCAGTTTACCGAGCAGGTTCAGAAACATCAAACTGGACAGGCAGCGTTTCACTGCAGAGAGAACTCCAGTGGATTAAATCTATACCCGTGTTTATGTTTTATTGACCCGGTGAACTTTGCTGTTATTAGACTTGAACATTGGAGTTTGTGTAAACGAGTTTAAACTGAACATGTTTGTACCTTAAACCTGATGCCGTCTTGGAAACACGTTCTGACCCCTGGGTTTCTGTCAGCCGCGCTCTTTCTGCCTAATTGGCTACAAAAAGAAGCAGCGATGCGTAAGAGTTTAGTTGGAAACAAGTTCGTTAGGACTAAAATAAAATAAAAGACCTTTAAAATCAACAAAGTTAGATCAGGTCCTCTGGATGTTTTGTTTTTGTTGTTGAAACGTTTCGTCTTTCATCCAGAAAGAATTCATCCTCTCCCCTCAGGACGGAGGTTCAGGAGCATTAAGTGTAGAACCACTAGACTGAGGAACAGCTTCTACCCTGAGGCTGTTAGACTCATGAATCTCTAACCAGAAGAATCACTGTACTGCCACTTGATTGTTATGTGCTGCTGATTATCCAGCTGCTGATCTCATGCTGCTGATTCATTTCATGCTGCTGTGTTCATGTGTGCTCATCTGCTCACACAGACTCATGTTCGTGCTGCTGTTGTTTTGTTATTGCTTAGTGTATTCTTAGTTCGGTGTATTTCTTAGTCCATATCTTAGATCTTATAGATCTTATTACTGTTTTTCTTTACAGTTTATTCTTTTGTTGGATGTAACTGGGACCCTGTGTACACAATTTCATTCAAATAAAGAAACTTTGACTTTTGAGAAGACTTCTTCAGTCCGAGGAGCCACAACAAACTCGGTCTTATAAACAGCACCTCCTCATAGTGGGTCAACCAGTTTGATGGTGCTCAGGTGGTTTCTGGAGTCCACCCTCTCCCCCGCCGACTCGTTTGAGTCCAAAGTGGTTCAAAAGTTCAGGCTCCACAGGAGCAACAATATCAGGTTCACTAAACCTTGATGTTCTGAACCAATTTGTTCTCAAACGAGTCGGCGGGGGAGAGGGCGACTCCAGAAACCACCTGAGCACCATCAAACTGGTTGACCCACTATGAGGAGGTGCTGTTTATAAGACTGAGTTTGCTGTGGCTCCTCGGACTGATGAAGTCTTCTGGATGAAAGACGAAACGTCTCAACAAAAACAAACCGTCCAGAGGACCTGACTGAACTGTGTTGGATGTTTCTACCTGGACTGTGTGAAACTTTAAAATCAAATTTCACATGTTGCCCATGTGTTCTTCCAAACATTTTTAAACCTCACAGAAGACGAACCCGTGACCTGGTAATTCAAGCGATGTGTGGTGGACAGAGAGGCTGAGCGACAGAATGAAAACAAAGGAACTGTTTAATAGAGGAGAGGATCTGTAGCTGCTCTTCATCACCGGCACATGCTCGAACTGTTTTCGCTCTGTGGTGCTGTAGTAACAGACCCAAACAGACGCCTGCAGCCACTTCAGACACACAGCCACTCCTCATCTTCTGCATGTTTAGAAAGAAATATTTTATGGCAGATAAAGAATGTTTAAATAACATTAATGGTGGCCCTGTCGTTTATGTATGCTTTTAAGTTGCAGCTTTGGACCTTCACAATAAAACGCCAGTGGAATGCGGTCATTGTCGTGATGTGTCAGGTTTAGAAATTACTGCGACACACGTCTAAATCTGAAGCTCCGTCACGCCACAGACGTCAAGACGTCACTCGTTTGTACCCCGAGGCATTTTAAATTAGCAACTTAAGCTACGATTGTCTGTTACGGTTAACGTGGTCATCAAGAATAAACGGGCCGTGTGCTGTGAGCGAGTTGGACCAGGAAGGTCAGTCGTCAGCCCCACAGCTGACATAAACATTACATCAGTTTTCAAATGTTGTTAACGACGCAACAGTTTCTATAAACGCCACCAAGACACGTTTTGGACTTCACCGTTTGTGTTGGCGACCACGCTGGATCCTTTAAAAACACACCCACCTCCGAGCCAAGTCGATTCTTCAGCTCTGAGCAGCAGTTTCTAAACAAAATGTGCCGAGAGAGCTCGGGAAAAGCTAAAAAAGGAAATGTCAAACGCCCAGCAGAGCCACGGTTCACCCACACGCTTACTGCGAGTGATTACCCCGCCGGTAACGGCTGTAGTAAACAAGGCAGGCTAATCTTGACTGACGTTGCTGCATGGCTGAAAAAATGGCTTTAATCTGTCGTTGAATCACTTCAGTCACAAACTTTGATAAGATTATGTCGATCTTAGGCCAGCTCAGTCATCAGAAGTTAAAACACCTGCCCAGCAAACTAATGCTTTTAACAAACGTTGTTACTGGTAATGGTAGTAAGTCATACATTAATAAACATGTTGTTACTTGTAATGGTAGTAAGTCATACATTAATAAACCTGTTGTTACTGGTAATGGTAGTAAGTCATATATTAATAAACATGTTGTTGGTAATGGTAGTAATTCATACATTAATAAACACGTTGTTACTGGTAATGGTAGTAAGTCATACATTAATAAACATGTTATTGGTAATGGTAGTAAGTTATACATTAATAAACATGTTATTAGTAATGGTAGTAAGTCATACATTAATAAACATGTTGTTATTGGTAATGGTAGTAAGTCATACATTAATAAACCTGTTGTTATTAGTAATGGTAGTAAGTAATACATTAATAAACCTGTTTTTATTGGTAATGGTAGTAAGTCATACATTAATAAACCTGTTGTTACTGGTAATGGTAGTAAGTCATATATTAATAAACATGTTATTGGTAATG